GTGTGTGTCTGCACGTGTGTGTGTGTGTGTGTGCATGTGCTTGTGTCTGCGTGTGTGTTTCAATAGGTAGCGATATTTATGCGCAAGGTTACAGCTTTTGCTTATCATCACTTGAGTTAGGTTTGTTTGCATTAGCCTAGTTCTTTATTTGTTATAAAGATAACTTGTTTGAGTTGTTTCTGATACTAAAATCTGTATACAGTCTAATATACATATAATATACAATTGGAAATATCACACTCCTATTCAACTACAAGAAACCTCATGACCTGCATTGAACTTCTCACTCTGCAAAAATGTGACTCCAGATGGAACCCATTGTGGGAAATTATAGGCCTGCTACATGTAAGACCGGTGACCATTACAATATACAGACTATTGCACTTGTGTCTGTGATCATTCCTTTATTATCTGGACCTAATGCGTGTGAGTGTGTGACAGTGAGTGTGTCACCATGCATGAGACCATGTGTGTAACATTACAATAATTCAAGTTAAGTGTGTGAAATATATAATGCTTTTTTATTATAATTTATGAAAGTCTGCTGCAAAATTGGATGAATTCAGACAACTACAACAACACATTCAAGAAAAGATTCTGCACCACATCAGTTCTGTCTGTAACATCTGGTTCCCCCTTGTCAGGAACATCACTGCCAATTGGGTGGCTTCTGGGAAAACACAATCAAGCCTCTGAATTGTTCCTTATTCAAAATTGTCCAATTTACCTCGTCTTGTTTAAATTCAGGATCATTTTTAATTTTATGCAATTTTTCATGATGGGAATCTTTGTTTTTGTTTTCCAGGAAACTCGTTTTTAATGCTGTCATTTTCCATGTTTGTAGTTTATTTTGCTGCCAAGTTAAATCCTGCTTTAAGAACTTCATTGAGGTTATTTTGATGATCACCTGAGAAAGAATGATCAGTTCAGTTCATGCATTCTTCTGATTTCTTCTGATTTCCAATATCTCAGTGAGATCAAAATTTGTCTGGCATTGCCTTGGCAAGAGCTAGTGTTTCCTCAATCTGCTGCTTTAATTTACATTCAAAAACATGCATTTATTCCTGCAGTTCGATCATGTCAAATTGGACTCAGTTTTCTATCTTTCTTCAAACCATGCCTTTTCCTTTGGCTTTCCTTCAGCTATGAGTACTGTTGCTATCTGCTTTTCCACATATTGCTTCTGCTTCTGCTGCAGTTTTAATTGAGGTTGTCTTAAAACCTCTCCAACAGAGTTTTTATCATTTATCCAATGCTACAATGTCCTTTTTTAAATGAATAAGACAATTTCATAACTTTTCTGACACATAACTATTCTGAAAATTAATTATACCAGCAGGTTTACAAAAACATATTGATTGTTTGAAGTGACTCAGCCTTTCCTCAGTTTCAGGAGCTTCAGCGAAATCACTGAAGATGGGATTACTTTATCCACAGGCAAGTCATTCAGTAACAAGAAATCCACACTTTAGACAAACAAATCAGGATTGATGCCCACAATAACATCACGGTGACTCAGTCACACTTTGAATTAACCCTGGACAGAGGATCAAATTCAACATTTCCTTCATTATCAATACTACTTTACACAGCAAACTTTCTGGAGACAAATTCAGGTCACTTTCCAACATCAGTGACAGCTGCTCCTGCATCTCTAAGGATGACAATTAACTTCCTGCCTCACAAAACTTTATGTTTCAACAGAAAACAGATCATAAATTTCCTGCACCCTGGTTTTGTAGGAAATTCAAACACAGGATTTATTGCCCTCCCTAATTGCCCAGAGACAGTGAAGTGTTAGTTGGTTTAGGTCGAGGGTCACACAGAATCATACAATTGCTGCAGTGCAGCTCAGGGCCATTTGGTCCATCGAGTCTGTACTGACCCTCCAAAGAGCATCCCACCCAGACTCACATCCTCCTTCCCCGTTACCCCTTCTTTCCAACGGCTAGCCTGCACATCCCTGGACACTACAGGGCAATTTAGCATGGTTAATCCACCCTAACCTGCACATCTTTGTGCAGTGGGAGGAAACCAGAGCATCTCGAGGAAGCCCAGGGAGAACATGCAGAACTCCACACAGACAGTCACCCGAGGGTGACCAGGACATGGTGCCCTGTCTGTCTCCCTCTCTCTCTCGTTCACGCTCTGCTTCTGACACACAAAGGTAAATGATGTGTTATTACCTTCGCTGCTTGGAATGTTTTCATGGTCATCATTATTAATGACATTTATAAATTATAAACTTTGTTGAGTTTTATTTTAGAGTCATAGATTCATAGAGGTTGACAGCATGGAAATGGACCCTTTGGCGCAAATTTTGCCGTCCAGTTTTCACAAATAAACTTGTCCCATTTGCCTGCGTTTGGTCCATATTCCTCCATACCTATCCCATCCATGTACTTGGTTAAATGTTTTCCCTCCCACCCGGATACACTCTCTTACCCTCTTTTGTTAGGCAGAAGATATAAAAGTTTGAATACACATCCAAACAGAGTCAAGGACAGCTTCTTCCCCACTGTTATCAGACTTCTGAACGGACCTTTCAGATATCAATTCGAATCTCTCTTCCTCTGCACCTTCTCTGCAGCTGTAATACTGTATGCGACACTCTGTTCTGCTACCCTGATGCACATTGTATGGTACAATCTGCCTGTATAGAACACAAAGCAACATTTTTCACTGTATCTCGGTATGTGTGACAACAATAAATCAATCAGTTATGAACAGGGATCACGTTGTTTTCCTGTGAGATTGTCTGCTTCAACTGCCTTCTCAAGATCTGTCTTAATTACATTGAAGTTCACTTTTAAAACTCACATATTGATGTCTACTGTTTCCAGTCAGGCCAGGACCTGAACTGCTAGGCCCAAAACCAGAATGGGCAACCTTCGATCAGCTAGGCAGAATGGGACTTTCAGGACAGGTCAGGCACAAAGCATCCGCACAGACAAAGGCAAGAAAGGACAGGCCGGACTTGCGCTCGATACTGAGGCTGGTTTGTGTGTTGGAGGACGGTGAGCAAACTCACTGGTGCCCTAAGGCCACGAAATGAAGAGGTGGGATGTGCCCTCAATAGATCAGTGGATGGACATCGAGGGCAGCCCCAGTGTTTTCCAATCATGGCATCACGGACCCATTGGAAGCCGTGGCCTTGACCTGGAAGATTGATGAGCTGAGGAGCAGAGAACAATCTGGAAGGATGCAGCAGAGTGTGATAAGGAGAGATACCTGGCAACCATTCCCTCAGTGTAGACTCCACCTGGCCCTGCAGCGGAGCTCCAACCACCCAGAGAGAGAAAAAGAGAGAGAGAGAGAGGGAGAAGACAACCACTTGCAAGACCAGCATTCCCCAGGTTTATCAGAGCTGACTGCGCAGCCTGGACAAGTTTACCTGCTCAGGTAGTACCTGCTCCAAGTCTGGAAGCCAGTGGTAGTTTAGATAAGGATTGTGACGCAAACTTAACACTGCAATTGGTTTGGTAATTAATGTAAGAATCAGTCATTTTATCATGAAATAAAGGTTTTCGATAATGTTCAGCCCTTTTGTGTCTTAAGTGTATTTTGTGAATAAAATACATTGAATTGCAAGTCAACATAGACTCTTTCTATCATCTCACAAGTCCTGTACCCGAGTAAAATGAGGTTATGTAAAAATGGAAACGTCCAAAGCACAGACAATGCCACCTTTGATGAGAACTACAGTGTAGGTGAATCATCAGAAAGAGAAAATAATTTCAATGTACACAATGTTCATTACAACAAAGTCTAAGACCTTTACTCCAGCACTGGTAGCTGATTAACATTAAACTTAATTGCTGTCATCTTTCCATTATTGCAAAACCAAATTGAATAATTGTACAGAAAAAGGTAAATCATTTACAGTTTTCACACAAAAAGACCTGAATTTTCAATTGGAATTCTCAAATCTCCTTCGTAAAAAATATCCAGTGTATGATTTAACAAAAATGGCAAGTGACTCATAGAATCGCTGTAAATCAGTGACACAGACGTTAGAACATAAGAACTAGGAGCAGGAGTAGGTCGTCTGGCCTTTCGAGCCTGCTCCGCCATTCAATAAGATCATGGTTGATCCTTTCGTGGACTCAGATCCACTTACCCGCTTTCTCACCGTATCCCTTAATTCCTTTATTGTTCAAAAAAAATCTACCTTTTTTTTAAACACATTTACTGAAGTAGCGTCAACTACTTCACTGGGCAAGGAATTCCATAGATTAACAACCTCTGGGTGAAGAAATTCCTTCTCAGTTCAGTCCTAAATCTGCTCCCTCTAATCTTGAGGCTATGTCCTCTTGTCCTAGCTTCACCTGCCAGTGGAAACATCCTCTCTATTTCTATCTTATCTGTTCCCTTCATCATTTTATATGTTTCTATAAGATCCCCCCTCAATCTTCTGAATTCCAATTAATATAATCCCAATCTACTCAGTCTCTCCTCATAAGCCAACCCACTCAACTCCGGAATCAACCTAGTGAACCTCCTTTGCACCCCACTCCAGTGCCAGTACATCCTTTCTCAAGTAAGGAGACCAAAACTGCACGCAGTACTCCAGGTGTGGCCTCACCAGCACCTTGTACAGCTGCAACATAACCTCTCTACTTTTTATTTCAATACCTTTAGCAATGAAGGACAAAATTCCATTTGCCTTCCTAATTACTTGTTGTACCTGCAGACCTACCTTCTGTGATTCATGCACAAGGACACCCAGGTCCCTCTGCATAGCAGCATGCTGCAACTTTTTACCATTCAAGTAATAATCCTTTTTACTACTACTCCTACCAAAATGTATGACATCACATTTATTTACATTGTATTCCATCTGCCAGACCTTTGCCCACTCACTCAATTTATCTATCTTCCCTATCTTATAGAAATCCTGCTGTTGGTAAAAAAAGGGAATGGACTGTCGGAATCAGTGTAAGTACCAACACTGGAGGGCTCCTGGGAATTTCACTGAAACAGGTTACAATGATCCTTACCATTCACCGAGTCCTGAATCACAAGCAGTAACAGCACAATGTGGGGAAGACCTTCCATCCTGAGATCTCAGCAGAAGGATTGCCTGAGAGGGAGAGAAGTGATAGTCTATTTATTTGTCACCAATCTCATGTTACACAGACAGTGCACTCATACCATTGTTAAACAGGCTCTGCAACACTTATACTAAGTTTTTGGTGAAATATAAACTCTCTGGGCCTGAGGTTCCTGAACTCTGCTTGTGTTACATTCTACGAACATTGCGATGTTAATATCTTTTTCTCATTGTAATTTGTTTTTTACTTCTGCATGCAATGTCTCTGGAGTTTTTCAGAACATGCTATGATTGTTTGGCATTCATCTGCAGATTAATCTTGAATTAAGGGCTAAATGTTTGATCTGAATGTTTTTCCACTGGCCTGTCATTGTTGCCCTCATGACTTGGGGCCCAACAGGAACTGAGCCCCTGATGGATGGTGTGCTGTGCACAGTGCCTTTAGAATATGCAGTGGCCAAGCTGATGGATAGATGCACAATATCTCTGATATCCTGACTGGCAATCCTCCACTAGTCCTTCTCCACCTTTGAAGAGCTCAGGTAAAGGGTTGACAGGGGGTGTGGGATTCCAAGAGCAGACCCACTGTTCTGTTGTGGTTGGGCTGAATCTAGGAATTTTGTAACAAGTAACACACCTCCTAACTCCCTTAACAAGGCCACCATAAGGTGTGTGATGGAATACTCCGCACTTGCCTGGAAGAGTGCAGCTCCAATAAGAATCAAGAAGCCCGATACCATCCAGAACAAACGGTCCACTTGATGACCACCGGAAATGTCACTTTCAATATTTATTCGTTCTATGATCAATGCACTGACAGTGGTATATGCCACCTACAAAACAGACTGCAACAACTCTACAAGGCTCCTTCAAAATCATCTTCCAAACCCGCTATCTCTGTCTTGAATAACAAGGCTGCAGCTGCATGGGAACACATTGCCTGCAAGATGTGTGTAGATGGCCCAACTAGAAAGGGGCAGAACTTGACCTCCTTTTGGGAAATCAGGAAGCGAAAGTGACTGAGATGTTTGTGGGAGAACACTTAGGGACACATAACCACAATTCTATTAGTCTTAAGGTAGTTAAGGAAAAGGATAGGCCTGGCCCACAAGTCAAAGTTCTACATTGGGGAAAAGGGCCAATTTTGTTGGTAATAGACAGGAGCTTTCAAAAGTTGATTGGAGGAGGCTGTTCACAGGTAAAGGGACTTCTGGCAAGTGGAAAACTTTCAAATGTGAGATAACGAGAGCTCTGGGCAAGCACGTTCCTCTAAGTGTGAAGGGCAAGGCTGGCTGGATCAAGGAACACTGGATGACTAAAGATATTGAGGCTCTGGGGAAGTAAAACGAGGTATATGTCAGGTACAGACAGCAGGGATCAAGTGAATCCCTCGAGGACTATAGGAGGTGTAGGAGTACACTTTAGAGGGAAATCAGGAGGGCAAAAGGGACATGGGATAGCTTTCGCAAATAGGAGAATCCAAAGAGATGCTACAAATATATCAAGGACAAAAAATAAGGAATGAGGGAGATAATAGGGCTTAAAGGTTAATGAGGCTATCAATGTGTGGAATCACAGAAGATGGGTGAGATCCAAAATGAATATTTCACATCAGTATTTACTGTGCAGAAAGACATGGAAGCTAGGGAGCTTGGGGGAATAAATAATGATGCTTCAAAAAGAGTCTATATGACAGAAGAGGAGGTCTTAAAACGCATAAAGGTTGATAAATTCCCAGGACTTGATCAAGTGTAGCACAGGACATTGTGGGAAGGGAGGAAAAAAGTTGGGGGACCCTTGTTAGAGATATCTGTATCATCGACAGCCATGGGCGAGATGGTATAAGACAGGTGCGTGGCTAATGTGGTGCCATTACTTAAGAAAGGCTGCAAGGAAAAGTCAGGGAACTATAGATCAGAGAGCCTGATGTCAGTAGTGGTAAGGTCCATGACGTCAGGATCTATATGCATTTGGAAAGCCGAGGACTGATAAAGGATAGCCAGCATGGCTTCATGCAGGGGAAATTGTGAGAAGATAAATGAAGGTACAGAAGTAGGTGTTATCCTCATGGACTTTAGCAAGGCCTTCAACAAGTTGCTGCATGATAGACTGGTTAGCAAGGTGAGATCGCATGTTGATCAGACCAGAGGCCTGTGACCAATAGTATGCTGCAAGGATCAATGCTGGGTCCATTGTTGTTCGTCATTTATATTAACAATTTCGATGTGAACATGTGAAACATGGTTATAAGTTTGCAGGTGACACCAAATTTGGTGGTATAGTGGGCAGCAAAGCAGTTAATGTACGAATACAATGGGATCTGGATTAACCGGGTCTGTGGGCCTAGAAATGACAAATGGAATTTAATTCTGATAATTGTGATGTGTTGCATTTTGGTCAGACAAACCACAGCAGAAGTTACACAGTTAATGGTAGGGCCCTGGGGTGTGTTGTCCAACAGAGAGACCTAGGGGTTTAGTATATCCTTGAAAATGGCATCACAGGTAGACTGGGTGGTGAAGGTGATGTTTGGGATACTTGCCTTCCTCGGCCAGAGCACTGAGTATAGACCTTTGGACGTAACGTTACAGGTGTACAAGACAGTGGTAAGGCCATATTTGGGGTACTGTGTAAAAATCTGGTCACCCTCCTATGGGAAGGATGCTGTTAAACTGGAAAGGATGTAAAAAAGACTGACAAGGATGTAACCCAGACTGGAATGTTTGAGTGATAAGGAGAGGCCAGATAGGCTGGGACATTTTTCCCTGGAGTGCAGGAGGTTGAGGGGTGACCATATGGAGGTTTCGAAAAAACATGAGGAGCAATGGACAGGGTGAATACCCAAGGTCTTTCCTCCAGGGTGGAGAGTCTGAAACCAGAGGCATATGTTTAAGGTGAGAGGAGAAAGACTTAAAAGGGACCTGAGGAACAGCTTTTTCACACAGATATGGAGCATAAATGAATGAGAGGACGTGGTAAATGCGGGCACAATTATACCATTTAAAAGACATTTGGAGAAGAAAGGTTAAGATGGACAGGGGACAAACGCAGGCAAATGGGACTCATTCAGTTTAGGAAACTGGTCAGCATGGACGTGGTGGGCTGAAAGGTCTGTTTCTGTGTTGTACACAGTTGTCTCAGAGAAAGGAGTGTGCGACAGGTCAGTATCACTGTGAAACACACTGAGGGGAGTGTGCAGCAGGTCAGTATCATTGTGAAACAGACTGGGGGGAGTGTGCGGCAGGTCAGTATCACTGTGA